ACCAATGACGTATTACATAGAGTTGCGCACTTGAAACATATCTTATTAACCAACATTACCCCAATACATTTAATCAAATTCAATACATTTAATAGAAGTTATGCTAAAAGAAAAAAAGACTGCAACCCACAGCACGTTTTCTTTGGCATGCTTGATTTTGTGAGCATGTATCACTAATATGCTATATATTTACTTATTTTGTATATTTTTGTCTACCTCGCCAATGTAAGAAACACCCAAACCTGGAGAGAATTTTGTAATTTATTTGCATCAAACAGAGGATACATCTGGAAGCAAGACCTCAGCAGACTGCGAACGACGCTTTCAAGCAATGAGTTTGCAGCTCCCTTTCTGCATTTGGAGTTGAGAGAAGGAAGAGGACCTGAAGGTGGGAGGAGGCCAGGCAGGGGTGGGATCACAGGGCAGTTAACGAGATGACCCCTCCCTTGCAGGGGTCAGGCTCTTGGAGGAGGGCTCTGAAAAGAGTCATTTCAAGGGTGTGTTAACCTGGATGCACAGAAACAATGGAAGGGGCTTACTTAAGGCAAAGATTAACCTTTCACTAAAGAAGTTACAGGCTGGGACAAGACTACCCACTGTGACCTGCCCAGTTAGGAATTTATGATCAGATCAGCCTGGGAGGTTACTTTCCATAGACCGACCCTTTTTTCCTCCTCGGCCCGGTGGGAATATAAATTCCAAGAGCACAGAGATCTTGCAGTTTTCGTCACTGAGGTATACCTAGTTCCCAGCATATTGCCTGGCACATAGTAGCACTTCATAAACATTTAGTGAATGAATGAACGAACAGATACCATCATATTGATTACTTTAAAGGTGAGCAGGGGTCTGTTGTATGGATGATGCAGTAACAGCAGTGGTTAACACTCATAAGGCGTGTCTGATACAGCCCTTTGTGAATTTAGTTCCTTTACAAATTCCTAGTCCTTTACAAATGTAAAGTTCTTTATAAATTTGCATTTGTTTAAACTGCTCAGCAATCGTATGAGCTGGGTTTGGGAGTCACTCCCATTTAATAGATTATAAAGCCAAGGTTCCGACAGAGCTATTCACTCTCCCGCAGTCACACTGATGACGGGGTTATGCCTGTCTACCTGCATCTCGAACTAGCACACTTAACTACCTGTGCCAGACTGGTGCCTGATGGGCATGTCACGATTCACTTATTCAGTCTCCTACTAATACACATCATCTTGTGGTTCTCAGATGAGGCAAGTAAGGCTCAGAGAGGTTAAGATACTTGTTCGAAATCACACAGCTAGGATTCAAGTCCATCAGCTGAATCTGAGGTCTGAATTCTTGATCACTGCATCAGCTCACCTACCAAAGCCTCCTTCTCTCCCAGGAGGACAATGGTTAGTGAAAGGTTTTCTTAGGCTTCTCCCAGGAAGAAATGCCTATCAGCTACAAAGTTAGGTAGTATAGAACTTTATGGGGGTTTGTGCACCGGGCAAAGTTCTCTGGTCTGCACAGGGGGGTGGGGAAGTCACACCCAAGCAGGGAATATGGTGAGGCTTTATTTTGGTTGGCTCTTCGTGGGAGCTGGGGATTGGTCCGCTTTGAACAAAGTGACAATATATCATTGGTGGTTGCTATGTGGATATCTGTTTTGGCAAAGCCCGCCCCTTCGGCTCCCTGGTTTGACATCCGCCGTCTTTTCCGGGTTGTATTTCAGCCGCCATTTTGTCCTACCCTGCCCATCCTGACAGTTAGGAGGGCTTTCCGGGTGGGCCCACTTCTGCCCCTTGGCAACATCTTTCCTCCCCAGATTTCCCCTCCGAAGTGCCCCCAGCCATGCCCTCTTTATCCACTAATGGCTCACCTGCCTCCCAGAGAGGATGCAGGTGTCTCCAGGTTGCTGTCCCCACCTCTGCAGCCCTTGTGTCTGATAGGTCAGGGTCCCCTGGGGGACTTACCTGGCATTCACGTATTCAGTCACTTTTATCGAGCACTTCCACCTGCTGGCACTGCAAGAGGGCATTTGGCTTCATCTGAATTCAGACAGAACCCAGACTGGCCGCCGGTATATCTACTCCCGTCCTGGCAGACGCAATGGTGAGCAGAGAAGAACACAGGTCCTGGCCCTGAAGGGCTGACAGTTTAGTGGTAGGCCAAACATTGTCAAGTACTCAGCCTAAGTAAGAGTCCGAGTGTGGCTACCACTGTTGTTGAAGGCGCAGAGCGCTAGATGGCTGAGATGCCAGGAGGGGACCTCTGGGCTGAGAGCGGGTGGATGAGTGAATAAGCAAAGAAAGAAAAGAATGTTTTAGGAGAAGGGACTGCATATCTAAAGACCTTAGGGACAGCAGGGACCACAAGAAGCCAAGACGGTTGGGGCAGAGTGAGGACGACTTGCTGGGAGATGAAGCTGGGAGGTCTTGGCCTTGCCAAGGAGTGTTGTCTTTATCTCAAGTACAGTGGGGCTCTGTTTAAACTGGGGTGGAGTGGGGGATGGTAATGGTGCACAATGGGCCTGATCAAATCCAATTTGCATTCTGAAGACAGTTCTGGCTGAAAAGCAGGGAATAGGCTAGCAGGGACTAAAGGGGACACACCAGTAGGGAAGGGTCTACAGGCCTGATGGCACCGAAGAAATGGAGAAAGTAGTAGATCTGAGAAATACTGGGCCCAAGGTGATGCCCTCTCTACGGTCGGTCAGTCCATGTTCAAAGATTGGCTGATGGGCAAGGGCAGGGTAGGCAAGAAGGCCCACTCCACTGGTCAAGGTGGATTGCTCTAAAGGGTACTTCTAGTACTGGAACTTTCTGTGGGATGACCAAGATCTTAACAGACATAAAAATTTACAAACTCCCATTCTCAGTGGAGAAGAAGCTTGAGGGCAGGACTGCCCAGGGCTCCAAAGAAGTGTAGGTGGGTCCCCCGGTGCCAACAGTGCCCGGGGAGCAACCCGCTCTACCCTGGGCAGGGGTCCCAGTGCTCAGAACCTGCTCCTCTCCTCTCACATGCCTCCCTCAACTACAGGAGGGTGGTGAGTGGCTGGGAGTGAGGGAAACTCGTGGCCTTGGGATGCTGGTCCTACTTTTTCTGCGAACTTGCCCTGTGACTTTGGGCAAATCTTTCCTCTCTGAGCCCCCTTCTTACTGGTAAGACAGGAAGTTGGAGTAATCAGTGACTCTTAACTTTTGGAGCAGATCACAGAGCCTTTGTCAAAAGCTATGACCCGTATGCACACAATTTCTGGCAGCTGCAAGGGTTCTGAAGCCCTGGGGCGGGGCTGGGTGGTGACTTACCTGGGCCACAAGTTAAGGATTCTGGGATGGGGCGGAACAAGCACCATTTCTGAGGGCCTGCTTGAGGGCCGGTGTACTACTACCCTGTTCTAATCTGCAGCACAGTCCTTTAAGGCGGTCAATCATCCTTTCTCTACCTGGAGACAGAACTTAAGCTGGGAGAAGCTGAACTAGGACCCCTCATGCTGGATCTTTCTGAAGCCACAGACTATTCTTCCCATTACAGTGAGAGACATCTCCACTCTCCTTTCCCCATCCCCACCACAGCCCCATGACACCCTACAGTTTGGACCTACAGCCAGAGCTCCCATGCAGTTGGAAAGGCACCCATGAGGCAGGGCTTATTTGGAAGGTAAGGTGCAGGACCTGAGGCTCGGAGGGTGTGCAGTCTAGCTGAGAAGTGGAGAGAGAAGACAGGGATGGTTACTCCTTAAGTCTGAGTGGAAAAGCCTCGCCTAGTTGCAATTTGGAAAACTAGGAGAAAGGGCTGGTGCGGGGCGGGGGAGGTTGTAATTAGGGGAAGAAGGCAGGCCCCTAAGGCTTGGGCAGAGTAGGCTGGGGCTGTGTGTGAATCGAGGGCCCTGAGGCTGCCGTAGATCTCGTACCCCAAAAGGAAGGGGTCTCCTGAAAGTGTGCTACCTTTATCCTCGATGTTTAGAGTCCCGCCCCTTTCCCCCTGGGGGCGGGGGAAGGGGATCCAGTGTGTTAGTCAAAGTCCTAAGCCTGAGACGGCCCCTGGGTGTTCAAGTCCCCGCCCCGGGGGACCAGTATCCTAGGCCTGGGTCTGTCTGTCCTCGAGGGAAGGGACGATCTCACTGGTTGTCTGGATTCCCTACAACCGGCTTCGGCCCCACGTGAATTACCTTGGGGGAGGGGCTAAATACTGCTGAGATTCAGAAATGCTTTTGAAGAATGAAAACTCAGTGGCTCAATCACTCCCAAAGGACAGGAGGAAAATGCCCACACCGCTGCTTTTAAAATTAAAGCCACTTAGAAAGGGCCACCCTAAATCCAGTCCTCCGTCCTCCTGCCCGAAGCTCTACAGCCTGAGCCCCTATACAAACAAGCACCCAGAGTACTAGGCGGGGAGGGCGCGGCGCCTTTAAGAGGCGGCGGGCTGCACTGCCCCCTGGCGGTCGACGCGGCCGCGCTTCCTCTGTCCCGGCGGGTCCAGCGGGCCTGCCGGCCGGGTCAGCGCAGTGGCGCTGGGGCCAGATTCGGCGAGTGTGCGCGAAGACAAGGACGAGGTGGAAGTGGCTGTGGCGGGTGAGGACCGTGGGCGGGGCGGAGGCCGCGTGCGCCCCGCCGGGGTCCGAGCGTGCCGGGAAGGGCACGCGCTCTGCTCGGAACTGCCGTCTGCGCCGCCTGGGGCTGGGAGGGTGGGCCAGCTGGAGAGGCTGGGAGGGAGGAGGGACTTGGGGCAGCGACAGCCAGAGCCCGTTGCCGGAGGGCAGGTTGCTCGGCTCTGGGCGGCTGGAGGGAGGCCGATCGACTCTGGTGAGCCAAGGCCTCCCATCTCTCCTCCCAGCCCGGCCCCGGAGCGGCGCTCGCGAACTTGCTCGCCGGCGAGCCCCGCGGGCGGGAGGCAGGGGCGGCCCCGGAGCGGCGGCAGCCAGTAGCAAGCCGCGCTGAGCACCGCTCCCCCGCCCGGGCGTTCGCCCCGCCCCGGCCCGCCCCGGCCCGCCCCTCCCGGCAGGACTGCGCCCGGAGCCCCGTTCCGCGTCCTCGCCGCCAGGAGGAGGTTCCCGCACACTCGCGGCGCGCGCCGGGCCGCCAGAGTCGGCCTGTGGGCGATTTCCTCCGGACCCAAGCTCCCCGCCCGAGGAGGAAGATGCAGACCTTTCTGAAAGGGAAGAGAGTTGGCTACTGGCTGAGCGAGAAGAAAATCAAGAAGCTCAATTTCCAGGCCTTCGCCGAGCTGTGCAGGTAAGGAGGGACGGGGTTCCGGCGCTCGGGGACCCCGGCCCGATCCCCGCTCAGCCCCAGCGGCTCTTTTGGGAGGTTGGATCAAAACGGGAAGGAGCGGTGAGCGAGGACATTGCGTCCGAGGAGCCAGGTGGCTGCGCTGGCCGCCGGCTGTGTTCGAGGGAAGCGGTGGACAGTAAGGGCGGTGTGGCACGGACCAGGGCTCTCAGGTGCACTGTGACCCGGGTGGGGAATCCTCCAGGTGCCCAGGGCGCGGTGGGAGCGTTGCTGAAGGTGGCGGAGGGACCTGGGAGATTCGGGGATCCAATCTCTCTGCCTGTGGCTGGAGATTACTTTTGGGCTGGAGTATTTTTCTTCCGTTGTTCCGTTCCCTTCTCCTCACAGAAGGGCACCAGTGTTCCCGTTTTTGCGGACCACCTACTACGTGCTCAGCGAGTGCAGCTCTTGAGGCTGTCACTGCATGTGACTGGTTTACACCCATGTGAAGCGAGTAGCAGCACTTGGCGTGTATGTGGTGATTTGCTGTCTCATTAGAGCCTCGCACCAGCCTTGAGAATTGGCCCACAGTGATGATTTTGGGCCACGTGTTTGAGAAGGGGCATCGATCTGCAAAGAGGTGGGGTACCACCCTCGGAGCCCAGAGCTAGGGAGTGGCAAATGCAGAGGAGGTGCTGGGTAGATGCATGTGGTAAAGGGTAGCCTTCCTCTACTTGTCTCCCCCCCCCACCCGCCACCCCCTCCTCCCCAGTGCTGGTGCTCTGCTCAATGGTGGAGACTTAGGTGTAAAACACATAAGGTCACATTCTTAATCCATTAGAGAAGCATCGAATGTTGGGTCGGGTGTGCCTCACCATGCCCCACAACTGTGACTTTGCTTTTGAGAAGCTGTGAGTTAAATCCTATTCTCAGCGAAAGCCTAGGAGAATTCGGGGCTCCACAAGCCTTTCGCAAACTCTAGGTGAAAACCTTTCGTTTTGCAGTGTCTCTGCTTGGTAGACCTGATTCTTGAAAATGGGCCCCCCTTGCATTTTCATCCCCACTGGGTCCCCAGCCATCACAAAGAATCAAACAATGGTGTTTCCTTATCTCCTGGTGTGGGGAGCAGTGGCGAGTCTGAGCTAGACAGGCTCACAGCACCTCTGTGCCCCTCCTGCCTGTCCCAAGGGCCTGGTGGTGCGCCTTTGCCCTGTGCTAGCCCTTGCAAGGCTTTCTTCTCCCAGCAGCCAGCGGGGGCGCACTTTGCACAGAACAGGTCCAGGGTCTGCATCCTTGGTCAGGCACTGGAGCTGGCTGCCTCCTCTCAGGCCCACTTCCCCAGGAGAAAGCTAGCTTTCCATAGTCAGCAGGGCAAGATGAATACATGAGGAAATCAGGAGGAACTCATAGCCAGAGCTTGGAAAATGGGTCTGAGGACTTTGGGAACCTTAATAAAGGGCACTTGAACATTACACTGCATGTACAGTCATAGGAAATGTGCCCTCGTCACTGAAGAAATGTGGAGAAGCCCCTTTGATGCGTTCTTGAAGTCCAGTTCTGGTGTACAGTGCGGGAGCTCCCCCTGCAGTCATCTGAGACTTGGGAAATTCCATTTAAGACCTTGCACCCTTTTGCCCGAGGTCTGGCTGTATTTGTGTCATCCCGTGCCTGCAGCTAAACCAGGAGGCTTGTCATCTGGTTGGTATGTTTTGCTCCATAATTTGGAGGAGGCCCTCGTGAAAACAGTCCTCCTTCTAGACTTGCACAGTGGCTTTCCCTCCCCATGGACCCCCTGCCTTTAAACAAGGGGTTCATGGGAAGCTATGATGTCAACCCTTCTGGGGGAAATCCAGCATGAAGTGTTAATTTCTCTGAAAGGATTGTTGCCCTCAAACTTGAGTTGCCTGCTGGCCAAAATAATGGCCTTGAGGAGAAGAAAGAAAGTGTCTAAGTCATTCTAGGATCTCAGAAAGCCCACTTTGTGTTTTTATTAGGGACGCTTTAGATATTTTGTTACTGAAGCTTAAGAAGGAAAACACCAAAAAATTTTTTTTTTGTTTCTTCTCTCCTTTATTATTTTTGGAGCAGCGCCACCTGGTGGCCACATTTCTCTACTGGGTGCAAAATGCTGGCACCCTGAAGAAGGTGGCCAGAGCCCTTTGCTGCTGTTGTGTTGGTGGGAATGCTGGTGGGATTTAGTGGCCTCAAGAAGTGATGTGGCCAGACAGTGTTAGGTTTTCAATATTCTCGATCTGGGGGTACAGTGCTCCTGTTTTGATGGATGGTGAATTGTCTGTGAATTTCCCAATGAAAAAGTCCAGAGATGTTTGGAACTGACTCCAGGCCCTGCTCTGAATATTTGGGGCCTTGTCAGCGCCAGAGAGGCTGACCTGAACGGACTGGGATGAGTTGTTTAGTTGAATGTCAGGCTTTGTAAAATCTCTGAGCAGGAAGGGATGTTGAAGATCATCTTATTCAGCCCTTTGTTTTACAGATGGGGAAACAGGGTGGAGAAAGGGCAGTCCCATACGTTTCTTCCTTTCTTTTAACTTGTAGAGTGGATCCAATTGGGTGACCTTGAGACCCGCACAGAAAAAGCCAGCCCTTTCTCTGAGCACCTCTGACCGGAAGGTGGGCCCCCTCCTTATTTTCACAGGAGTCCAGTGGCTGCCATCTGGCCCTGGGGGGCACTTTTCCTTGCAAGGCTGAGGTATTTGGAACCTGGTCCTGCTGGAACACCTTAGGTAGACAGATGGGCCACCCTTCAAACCTTTGGTGCCATTTGAAGGGAGGGCCTCTGACTAGTCAACAGACGGACCCTTGACTCGGCTTGTTTTTTACCGATGCTGTGTGTTCCTGCGACTCTGCTGTTTCTCCCCCTCTCCCAGGGGGCCTGGCTTGGTCTCTTCTAGCCCCATTTCCCCTTCCCCTGGAGCAGCCTTGTGCTTCCTCATACCCATTTTGTGGCTTTTTCAACATACCCAGAGGGAATTCAGAAGGACAGCAAAGAAAGACAGCTGTTGGTTAGAAATGCAGGGTGACCTCTTAGAAGCGCTGGCTGAACCCGGCCCCCTGGGCGTTCTCTGGGTCTCTCCTCCAGCTCCTTTTCCCCCACTCTGCTCTTTTTGGTGGCAGAACCTGTGTTGCCGGGGTAGTGAAAAGGCACAGGACTTTATGAAGCATTCTTTTCTTCAAGAGTGTTTATTTTGTTTTTTAAGATTTTATTTATTTATTTTTAGAGGGGAAGGGGGGGAATAAGAGAGGGACACACTGATGTGCTAGAGAAACATTGCTCGCCTCCCCCACGTGCCCCAATCAGGGACCCCCCTGGGGACCAGGCCCGCAGCCACCCAGGCATGTGCCCTGGCCTGGGAACCGAACCGGCGAGCCCTTGCCTTGCAGGATGGTGCCCAACCAACTGAGCCACAAAGGCCAGGGCAACTTTGCGGAGCATTTTTGGTATAAAATGTGGGTGAACCTCTGTCCATCTTTGCTGTAATAGTCACTGACTTTTTAATGTGGTCCTTTCAGCTGCCTTATCTTAATTGATCTTCCCAGCCCCCCAGGAGAGGGGTAGGGAAACCGAGGCTTGGGGAGCATCAGGGACTCGCACGGCCGGTTGGGCTTCCCTGGCCCAGTCCCGAGGCCTCTGCATCTGAGAACGAGGTGTCCTTGCATAAGTGACTCTTCTTTGCCCGGGTTGGCCTGGGGCTGCCGGGAGGCTCCAAAAGCAGAAGCACGTCTGTGAGGTCCTTGTCCTTGAGAAACTCGGAGGCCAGCTGGGCCAACCGGTTTGCAGGAAATAATGTGTTTGTGGTGCAATCTCAGCCCGTGTTACTGATGCTGGCTTTCCCACAGGGGACCCTTCGTACGGTTCCCCCGAAGGAGCCAGGCCGGCAGCCCGCTGTGGCTCTAGTTCACGAGTGCCTTCTGGAGTCCAGGCCTGGCGTCAGGCAGTTGGCGGGGGCAGCGGGGCAGAGCCCCTACCCTCCTGCAGCTGTGAGTGTTAAAGTGCCCGGTCCTGGAAGCTGTGTCAGGGAGTGTGGGTGCCCCTGTCCCTTCCCCTCAGGGCCTGTGTTTCTTCAAAAGGGCTGTGGAAATGTCCCTTTCTGCTGGGGTGGCTTGCATTCTAAGCGGGACTTCTTTCAGGAGATTGTTAGGGAGGAGGAAGGAGGATCTTCTCCCGGATTTGGGGATGCCAGTCTGTTTGTTTTACTGTCTGATCTGGCACCATTGTGGGGCGTGGGGGGTGGCGGGTGGGAGTGGGAGGAGGGCTTAGGTTTCCTCTGCAGCAGTGCCCGGGCCTGTTTTAATGCAGCGTTGCAAAGGAACCCTCTCCACCAGCCCCGGAGTAAACCGGACTCACAGTGGAGCATCGGCCGCCTGGGCACTGCTGTGTATTGATGAGGACCCAGGCCTGGCTCCGCCTGTGACCCTGGCGACTTAACCTCTCTGTGCCTCATCCCCCTGTGAGGAGACCAGTGCCTAGTTCGGGGATGGGGGTGCTGTGCGCAGTACGGGAGTCAGTGAGGACCTGCAAAGTACCGACCTGGAACTCTGAACGGTGGTTGCTGCTATTTTTTTTCTGTCATTTCTGCTGTTCAGAGTGGGGGGGTGGGGGGCTTCTGCCCACGGACCACAGCTCCCTCCCGGAATCACTGGCATTTGCAGATGTAGTGTTTTAGTTTGGGCACTTTGTGAGCGCCCCTGAAGCCCATCGTGGATGTTCGCCGATCATCCTGCTGGGTGTGGGGGGCTGGGGGTGTGTGGCTGGCAGGCGCGGGACCAAGGAAGGGCGGCCCCTGTGTCTGCTCCTTTCACATGCGGTCCATCCGAATCTTCCAGCCCCCAGAGCCAAGGGTGTCGTTCTCATCTGTTTAATCCACAGGGAACCAGGGAAAATCAGATGTTAGCGCAAGATGCTACTTTCATTTTCTGTGTGTGTGACGATTCAAGAAGAGTTTGTGTTGGGTTTCCTGTAAACGAGTCTCCATGAGCAATCATGTTACTATTATTAGCTAACA